CATGGGTGATGAGTGCGCTTTTGGCACAGACTGCATATATAAAAGAAGACTTTTCATTTTAGTAATGAGGATGAGGTCAATTGTAAAATGAGAAGAGGAAAAGACCAGGACAAATCTGAATAGATGGGGACATTTCAGATGGGGCTGGGGTGCAGTTCCGTTGGTACAGTACCTTCCAGGGTGCAGGGAGCCCTGGGTTTGATGCCCAGTAGAAGTTGAGTGTGATGGTACAAACCTGTAATTTCAATCCTAGAGAGATAGAGGCAAGAGGATCAGAAGTTCAAGGTCTCCTTGGGTAGATATTGAATTCAAAACAAGTCTGGGGTTTGAGAGACCCTATCTAAAGACAACCCCAACAAAGACCACACCGCAAACCTAAAACATTGCAGAAGATGAGAAGTCTTATTCTAGATGAACTTTGTGAAATAAACTTTATGTGTGAGCAAGCTTACTGAAATGAAAAGGAAATTATTCACAAGTTTTTCTTAAAAACGAACATCACAATCTAAAATACAATGTGAAACTAAAATTTTGTCCTTCTTGTTAAAAAAAAATACAACAATAAATAAAAACCAAGGTCTGGAGAGACACCTCAGTGTGCAAGAGTTCTTCTCGCTCTCCAGTAGGGCAAGGCTTCTGTTCCCAGCATCCTCATGTGGGGCTCACAACCACCTGCCACTACTGCTCCAGAGGATCTCATGCTGCCCTCCTGACACCTGCACACACGTGGCATACACACACAGACACACACTCACACACACATACACATAAAAAATGTTAAAATATGTCTAAACCAAACCAAGTAAAACACACACAGCTTTGTGCTGGTGAGATGGCTCAGTGGGTAATGGTGTTTGCCACCAATTCTGTCACCTGAATTCAAGCCCCAGAACTCAGGGTAGAAGGAGAGAATTGATGCCTGCAAGCTGTTCCTCCACACAGGTCCTGTGCACACAACAGTCCCTACACATAAATGCAAGTGCACGTACACACACACACACACACACACACACACACCTATTCTATTTTTACAATATTGTACAGGATACTGCAAACGAATTTTCTTTGCCATTTGGAGTAATTATTATAGGATGTGAAAATCCTGGGTTTTACCGATTAATTTTCTGTGCTCTGTGATGTCCTTATTAGGTTTTGGCTGACTTAAGATCACACCATTAACTCCAGCTCTCTAGAGGCTGGGTCAGAGGACCAGAGTGTCCAGGACAACCTAGTACTACATAGTGAGACCTCATCTCAAAATAAAAACAGTGTCATCCTATGTATTTGCCTTTGAAGTAGTATATCACATAGGTAAATTAAAGATTGTGCTTGGCTTGAATTAATCTTATTTTGATCAGATGTTGAAAATCTTCACTGTTTCTTTTCTTTTTTTCTTTCTTTTTTTTTGACTAATTTCTCCAAATCAAGTGAAATAAATCTTTTTCTAGATATTTAATTAATTTAGCAACTTTCTAGATGGGTCCTTGGAATATCTCCAAAGGGTGTATCTTTTTATAAAAAATAAGAATTAAACTCCTATCTATTAGTTTATTTGATGCATTAAAGTATATGAGAAATATGATAAAATAACAAATGCAAGATGTATACAAGTGATACATTCAAGTACATGAGAACTGTGATGATATAATAAGAAATTCAAAATTAACGAGTTGTGTACAGATGGGTGCATTGTTAGTAATGTGTTTCGGAAATTGTGTGAAATTCTTAGAAATCTAGTGGGCATACGCATAACACTAGCAGTCACAATTCAAAGTGTGACTTTATTAATCTGAAGCAGGGCTCACCTGTCCCAGGGCTGCATTGATCTCCGTACACAGCCTAGGATAATCTTGAGGCTCTGATTCCACTGCCCTCTACCTCCTGAGTGCAGATCTGCTTACAGGCATTTGTGGTAGGGATAAACCTCAGGCCTTCATGGCCGCAAGCACTCCACCACCTGTGCTGCCACCCAGCCTCTGTTACCTTTATGTGTTATATACAAGAGCCAGGCCTAACAACCCTTGCCATAGTCCTAACTAATCAGGAGGCTGGGGCAAGAAAATCAACCGAGCCCAGGAGTTCTGGTCATCAAGGACAGCCTAACAACACCCATCTCATAAATTTTGTTTGCAACAGACATAACAAACTTTTCTTGCCAAATGCATTACTATTACACGGAACCCTCAAAGAAGCTCTAACCATGGCCATCTTAAGTCTTGTCACTTGCAGTTAATTGTTTAGTATGAGAGGACAGTCGCGGAAAGGACTGCCAAGGTCCATTGGCCTGGTAGGAATGCTCAGCTTCCTGAGGAATTCCTGGTAGGAATGAAGAAACCAGTGGCTCATAAAGATCAAGCTGATGTTTAACTTAGGGCCAACCAAAAAGAATTAAGTACCGAGGAAATGACTTGGCATATTTTCGTGCTAAGTTAGTCTGTGGTGAAATTGCAAGCTTTGCAATTTGAAGGAACACAGGGGATTTGGCCCAAGTCCATTTACCTATCAGAATCTCTTTAGTATGCAGTACTAAAACCTGAACTTGAGAGTTCACAAATCCATTGCTAAGCATGGGCCCAGGGAGAGCTTGGATGGTTGCCTGGTGCTGGCTGAGTCCTCAAAGCAGCTAGTATTAAATGCTCTACACTCTAAGATACATGGCAGAAAAAAAATGATCGGTACTGTAACAAAACATTGGTGGATGTGCATTTTCCCTGGACAGGGCTTCTAACCAGCGTTTGCCTTTGCATCCCACCTTTAGTTAACCCGATAAAGTCCCAAGTCTGTACTGCCATCAGCAGGATGAGCCCGACACTCACAGCCACCAGAAGTGCTCATTTGCTCATGTTCAGAGGCTGCCCCGTACAGAAAGGTCGCTACAGTTAAATTAGAAGCTGTGTTGTGCTAGCAGGGATCCTGGAGAAATCCCTGGCCACAGTGGTACCTCTTTCATCACACAAGCTGTGTAAGAGCTAAGTGAGGAACCACAGACACAAAGGCAGTGAGCCCAATTCCTGGGTCACCTGGATGGCCTCAGTCCCAAGCTCTTCCAAGTGATGGCAACCGGACCCACTCCCATTGGAGAGCATAGATGGAGCCCTGTGGATCGTCACTGCAAGACCTCCTCCCTAATGAAGACCCGGGAGCCACCTATTCACATAAAATGTGACATGATCCAAAGGCAAAGCTTCCATGCATTAATCCAAAGTGTATTTTCACTAAGACCGTCTTACAAGCAGACAAAGGCCTTAGATTTCTACACACACACACACACACACACACACACACACACACACACCTACTGCTGACATTGCTCTCCTTTCCAGCTCCTTGCAGGAAAGCACAGGGAAATGCTGTCGTCTTTGGATAAGCTCCGACCTAAAGAGGATGCCCTAGTTTCTTAGTTCTGTCCACCTGTTAACTATCCTAACGCCCTCCCTTACCTGCCGGAATGCTGTGAGTCATAGATGTTTCTATGCACTCAGCCTTTGAACTGCAGTTAAAAGCATGAAGAAGGCATAGAGAGTTACCTGATTAATCTGGTATTGTCCATTATGAATTAGATAACTGGACCAAACTGACCATGACCATGGTCACAGAAAGTGCTGCTGGTACCCAAGACCTCATCCCATTTTAAACCGAGCTGCTGACCCACAAGGAAAGTGGGATTGTTAAAGCAGCCTACAGCTGCCTTTGTGTGCAGGAGTCTGTAACCTCAGAACTCCAACAATGGAAGCCTGACTGAAAGAATATTCTTAGACACGCAGGTGACTAGCCAAGTACTGAGTCCATTACAGCTGCACACTGCCCAAAATGTCCAAAGAAGTCAGGTGAGTTGTCCACAACTGTGTTATTTCCATGCACTTTCTGGTCTATAGACACTGCCTGCCCATTTTCCAGAGTGGAGTTTCTCAGCCTTCACTGACACAGGCCCTGGCCAGTTCCTGAATCATTTCTTTGTGCAAAGAAGCTTAAAATCAACACGGGTGACCTTTGCTTTTCAATAGGAGCAGTAAACAGGCAAGTTAGCAGCTGGCTGTCAGAGGAAATCCTTGGCCCTTTAAGAAAATGTTTCTAATTCACCTATATTTAGAGAATCGCTGATTCTCATTGCACCGTGTCTGATCCAAGGCAAGGTGTGCCCCTTCCCCAGGCAGAAATCGCCCAAGACTCAGGGCCAGGGGGCACAGGTGCTCAGCAAGCAGTGAGTTCAAGGGTCACAGCAGTGGCTCTCAGCAGAGCACTACGTTTCCAGAAAGATTTACAGAAGACCTGGCCCAGGGAGGGGATGCCCCTGCATCTACAGTGATTACTTCTCAGATCTTTCACGCCTGCCATCAAAACCCAATTCTGATTCCATCTCTGAGATGCGCAGTTAGCAGACATGACTCTGCAGACGACTCACTTTCAACTCTCTGAGGCCACAATTACCAGGGACAAAGAGAGGTCATCAGCGGAGAAGGAGCTTTTTGCTTTACACATTGCTCTGAGAAAAACTCAAGGATCTGAAGGCTCAAGTTACATCGGATTATGGTAGAGAGTGAGGCAGCTTCTGGCTTCAGCACCTACCTAATTCTGCGACCTGACAAAAGTCTCTTCCCTTGTGGGGCTTATTTTTTCAGCTGCAAAATTAAATTGTTAGCTGGATGTGGTCAGGGCACAGGGAAGAACTCTCAGGAAGGAAGGCTCGTTGCTGTGTAATCATCTGGGGTGGGAGAGCCATTAGCACACACCAGCAGAACCCCCTCCCCCAACATACACACACCTTGTACAGAAACCAAGTAAGATTTGCTGCAGTTGCAAAACCCTAGGACTATCAATTTCACATTTGATTAGAAATGTACCCATTTTCCTGACGATGAAACCACCGCCCAGGCTGTGTAAATAATGCTGCACACAGGCCACACATATGTGCAGGTGATCTAAAGCCCGTCTCCCTAGAAGGGCAGGTCCCCTGCAGGAGGCTTGCACCCAGCCTTGAGGGGCTCAGTCTCAGCTCTCACCATCCCCAGGAAGGCAGCGTTCAGGACCACAGTGGTGAACCAGCGGAGCACTCTTCCCCCTTGGACACTGGACACCGCCCGGAGCCCATTCTTCCCTAGGGTCTCAGCCTGGAGGAGGCGCTGTCCAACAGCCTTGGGCTGGGACCCACGGAACTCCATTTCCAATCCCAGATTGGCAGTTCCAAACAAGGGTTTTTTGCTGTGACCCAGCTCTTTAACAGGGTCCCGGGAGCTCTGAGCCCCTGTTCCTTGGGACCAGGAGATTCCTCCAAGAGCCTCCTCCCACCAAGGACAGTCCTGAGTCAGGGCCTTGGGAAGTTACACTTTGAACTGTGCACGTGGTGAGAGCAGGGGAAACTCAGGTTCATCTGACAAAGCTTCTAAGAAGAACATTTGGCGGACAGGCATCTCTCAGCAATCACCAGACCAGCTTCTTGGGGGAAAGGAAATGTGGTTTCCTGGAAGACCACATGTTCTCATGGCTTCATTCGGTATCCCTCTCACATAAGTGCATACCGGCCTCCAGAGAACGTATGCATTGGCCTCCGGAGGCAGACAAAAGTGGAATCACAGTCTCAGGGGAACCCAGTCAAGTGGTCTTGGGAACTAGAGAGATGGCTCAGACATAGAAAGTGCCTGCTGGTTTTTGCAGAGGATTGAGTTCAGTTCGTAGTGCCCATACTGGGCAGTTCACAACCTACCTGTAACTAGCTGTAGGGGACCCAACACACACACTTATACACACACACACACACACACACACACACATTCATTCTTATCTCTTGTGAGTACTCAGTGGTATCAGCTTCTCTCCAGGCAGCAGAGGGCAGTCCCTAAAGGTATTTGGTCTAGGCATCTCAGTGTATTCCACCAGAGGACTTTAATAAGGCCCCTGAAGCACCCTGGAAACCAAATAGCAGCATTCCTCTCTGGGGACTCTGCAGCAAGTCTAGGGGGGGCGGGGGATGAAATTCAGCAGGGCACATAAGCAAAATGAAAGAGTTGATGAGAAACACAGAAACAGTACCAAATAGGTCTCAGGTCAATTTGAGGGAATGGGTTCCAGTCTGTGAGTCCCAGGATAAAACTTAGGCTGTCAGGCTCAGAGGCAAACACTTTAGCTTACTCACTGAGCTGTTTTGTTAGGCCCAAGTAGCTGTTTTGCATATGTTTAGTGAGACACCATTCCCCACAGATCAATGGAAGAATTCAGTATGACATAAGATGCACCCATGCATTACTGAATGAGGGGCCCAGAAAAGATTTCAAGCAACACTGTGACCACCATGTCGGGGATGATGTTCTAGATCTCCATGGGTACTGGGTACTGAACTGAGGGCCCAGGAATGAAGAAAACTGTGAAGCCCTTTAAAACCTCTGGTTCTAAGACCATCACTGTTTGGTTAGAACCTCCAACCAAAGAGACCCACTGCATCCCTCCCCTTGTCTACCAGACTATTAAACAGCTAAAGAACTAGCATTTCCCTAATGCTGGGAGGAGTGTTGATCCCAAAATTCTCAAGAAAGGAAGGACCAAGTCCAGGATTGTCTCAATTAAAGTATGCTGTGTTTAGGTGTACCCGAGGCTGACCAGTCACTGTCTCCCCCTAATATAGGGTATTGAGAGCAGCCCCCGGCCTCTCCAAGTCCCTTTGATAGGAGAGATAAAATGTTCACAAGGGGTGAGGGGGCTGGTGTTTATCTGTTTTTAAAGGACACAAGGAAAGGGAAGTAACAAGGGCAAGTATACATACCAAAGGCAAGAACACACACCACGTGAATGGGGGTACAAGCAGTTTACATCAGACCAGAAACTTCTTGATTACAAAGAGAAGCCTTCATTAGTAGGGACTTGACATAGTACACATCTCTTAACTAGGAACAGACAGGAACCGTTTTGACTATAAACTGAACTCTTAACCTGACGATATATTCTTAGTTTCAATTTCCCCTTAACCTGTGAGATGTATTTTGGTTTGGCATTAAAGAAACCGAAGCCTAGGGCCAGTCAGGGGAGGGATTTCTCTTCACAGCCTTCTGGCAGCTTTCAGACCATCTTGCAAGAGAGAAGGAGCTAAGATACAGGTGATTCAAAGGAACTACCTTGACCTTGACTGCCTAGTCATGCAATCTACCTGCCTTCCATTTAAGCTTAACATTACATCAGGACCCCAAACCTGGACTTGGGGATAAGACATTGAGCCTCTTCATTTGTTCCTCTTCCTAGCGTGGCCACCCTAAGTAAATAAATCTCCTTTCTCTGCTTTTCATTATTGCTCTTTTTAACTGAGTGCTGAGGACCATGGCTGAGCCTAGGGTGTGATCAGAGTAAGAACACGACAACAATTTTTGAGCCAAATTTGATGCAAGTGTTAATTAAATACTGGCCAGGATGATGGTCCATTCCAGGGTTCCCAGAGAATGACAGTGAGTCACATTTTGCCCAGACTTATAAAGGCCAAACCATAAGTCTACTTGATTCCCACCAGGTCCAATCAGGGAAAAGCATATATCCTGACATACTTTCTTCATATATACTCCCCGCCTACCATCCAATCATAGGCAAGCATACAACCTGACATATTTCCTGCCTACACACCTCCTGCCTCCATGAGATCAAGCACATCCAGGGCAGCTAAGAGCAAACACACTTGTTTAGGGGAGAGAAAGCACATGGCTTGTTATCTTCCACAGTCTCCAGCATTTCAGGAAGTATCTGTCCTTGGGCAAGGGGCTTGCAGGTTAGAGGCATTTTGTTTCATGGATCTCTTGGGCACAGTAATTAACACCTACAACATAGCTTTGGCTCTCACAGTTGTCAGGATGCCAGGGCCCAGTCTCACCCCAGCAGTTCTGGTAACAGCACTGCCGGGTACTGAACAAGAGCTCCAGGAACTCCCAGTGCTGGTGTCCCAGCAAGGATCACAACAGCAGGAAGTAATGGGACCTTTTGTTTCCAAGACCAATAGATCTCGACCTTATTCTGTGAAGCCCTTTAAAACCTCTGGTTCTAAGAACATCACCTCCATATACTTGGGCCAAATGAAAGACTACCCGATTTTCCAAATTTAGAAAGCCCTGAAGATGAAGTAATCCTTGCTGCTGGCAGTCCTAAAAGAGTGAAAGCAAAACCACGTCCTCTGTGCTGTTGTAAATACAGCTTCACTAAGTCAGTGGGCAAGCACACTTAGAGAAACGCAGATGCAGAGGAGGAGAGCAGAAGGTGTGGTAAAGGAGAAAGGCAGATTCATCTTACTTGGGGTCAATCATGTTTAGGAACCTCAGCTCTCAGGAAAGTCTCAATGACTGGAATTACAAACCATCTGTCATGTGTTAAGAGGTAAGATACCAGAAAACTGTCAGGAAGAAATGTGGGCTGACAACTGCAAGGGGGAACCTGGTGTGTCCCCTTCACATCACCTGGGAGCAGAGAAGCCAAAAAGTCCCCGCTAAAAGACGTCCCAACTCCCTGTTCTGTTCTGCATCTGGGCTACAGGCCTGCCATTCACCATTCATGCTACTAGTGCTGGCTGAGCCTTGTGGGTCAGCTTCACAGGGACTCCCAACACAGACTCCACATTAGTCCTGTCTACAGCCAGGAGGACTACAGCTGACAGAGAACATGACCATGCGCTCAGGAGTGGTCAGTGAATCCCTGGCTGTAGCTGGATAGTGAATCCCTGGCTGTAGCTG